TTACTAATGGATATTTAGAGGTTGCAACTATACCAGAATCATGTACTTCTTTATCAGAATTAGGATCTGATTCAAAGCTCTTTTTTAAGCAGTCTTCAAGCTTTTTTTGGATATGTGTTTGCTTTTGATGGAAAATGGAACCATAAAGGCTAGAAATACCATAATATAAATTACTTTTTTTAGCAAATAAATCTTTTTTTTAACGTTTTACTTACAGAATCTTCTTGTAGCTCTATATACATCTTGGAGCTGGAAGGCATATCATAAACGATAATACCTTTAAAACTATCCAAATCTACTGAAGAAGTTATTTTATCTAAGGAGTCGTTCAAAAGGATATTTTTTATTTTGATTAGCTTGCGTTTTGATTGGGATTTTAAAACAGAAGAAACTGCAACATCAACCAGTGAAACACTTTTTCCCGGTGAAACCTTGACTTTTTTCCCACGCAACACTGCCCCATGCTTTTTAGCACATGTTTCTCTAAGTTCTTTAAAACGTTCAAGAACTAACGGGGATACTAAGTTTTGAGAGGATGTAGAAATGTCTGCTCTTAAAATCTTATCAATAATTTTTTTTCTGTTTAGCGGGTAGATACCAGATGTTTTAAACCCATTACAGCAAACTCTTGTATGTGGTCCATATTAGATATTAGATTAAGGAGCAATCTCGGTAAAACATTTTTTGGTAGGGATGTATGAAACCTCCCTTCCCTAATTTTCCATGCAGTAAGCACTTTTCTCCATGTTGATTTCATGGGTCCATAAACTGCAAGATCTAGAGGTTGTAGCAAATGTGTACTGTTTGGAGGTAAAAAGACCATCATAATATTATTAGCCTCACAAATTTCTATAACCTAAATAGATAAATGGCATGCTAAATTATCACCAATGAGAATTTTTGGTGCGTCATTGTCAACATGTCTGAAGTAAGGTATTACTAATGTTTGCATCCAATCTATAAAACAGTGGCTATCAAACCAACCAGACTTTGTTCGGTTATATCTTGCACCCATTGGACCTCCAAGTATCCATGTGTCCATTAGACGTTCAGCTTTATACACTGTATATGGAGGAAGAAATACACCATCAGCAGAACATGCAAACATAATAGACACTGATGACTTTGATGTATTCATAACTCGTTCAGCATGTTTAGTACCCTTTCGGAATATTATTTGTTTTGATTTTGGGTCATCAGAATGATTTGTTTCATCATAGTTTATTATATTTTGAAGCAAAATATTTTTTATAGTTTCTTCTAAATTACTAAAAAATCTATTTACAGAATCACATGAAACTGCATCACGTTTTCTACAAATATTTTGACATGCTCGATAAGATTTTTTCGATAATTTTTTATGTCGTTTTAAAAATGATCTCACTCAATCATTACCAGGCAAATTTTCTTTATAATATGGGCAATCCCTATCAGATTTTTGAAGAAAACTCTGAATAAACAGCTTTAGGTCTACTATTTCAAATGCATAGCCAAAATCACTAAAAGTTGCAATGTATTGAGCAATTGTTACTTCCTCTTCTGGTAACAATGCACTCCTTCGACCACCTACACTAGTTTTTCTTAAACCACTAACATGACATCTTAGAGTTCTGTGTGGTATGTTCAATAGCCTTGCCACACGTTTACAAGGTTCTCCATCATTAACAAGTTCGACTGCTTTTTTAAGTTCATAATCTGTGTAGGTTTTGGAAAATTTTTGTTTTGATTTTACGTAGTTTCTCACCATTTTATCAGATATCTAATATGTAAAAGTAAAACATATAAGCTAAAAATTTAAATTATTTGCACCTTTCGATATTTATTTCATTAACAATAGTATTTAAAAAGTAAAAAACAGCTATTTGAAAAGGTGCTCATTTACCCCAAATAAAAGTACTCAATTACCCCACATTACTTTAAACAACAATATTTTATTAACAATTCATTTATGAGACTTTAAAATTTATACGAATTTACCTCAACATATGTATAGTATACTACAAAAAATTCAAAACTCTAAGAAGGTTTTAACTATAACTGCTTACCCTTAGTATTTCCAGTTATTAGTTTTTACAGAATTCTGTGATTCTGCATCGTGATATATTTAAAATGTTATCAGCTATTTATTTTTGACCAAAACAGTTGTAATTAGCAACATACAACTTAAAAAAGTTAATTTAAATATTTATATCTTGAAAATGATCTAAGCATTGATATTATCTATTTTATATGACTTTTAAAATTAAAATGTTCACGGGTGCTCAATTACCCCAAAATTGCTCAATTACCCCACGCTACGGTATGTATATGTATATATGGTTAATTTTTTTAACAATTTTTACACAGTTTTTTTGTTTTCCATTTTGCAAAATTTAAAAATAAATTTTGATTTAAGTTTGGAAAAAACAATATAAACCCATAGATCATTGTCTAAAGGCAGAGGAACTTAAGATTGCTGAAGAATATTAGTTATTAGCACTTTTTTCAAAATATCATTTGTCAAAATATTGTTTAAAAAGCCTAAAGTAGTTGTACCAAATAACTTCCTCTGGTGAGTAACTTCATCAGAATCAAAAAGACCTGTTGAAAAATAAGTAAAATATATGAGCTGTGTGAAATGATAAAAATACAAAAAGCATTACTATAAGCAACAGACATTAAGTATTAAACAGTTATTCTTTTAATACTTTTCCTGTGAATGTTTGAAAAAATCTTAAATTGCTTTTAAAGCCTATACATCAACTTTCATCTTTGCAGAAAGCATTTTTCTTTGTTTGTAAAAAAAAAAAAGTGTAATGTCAAAGATCTGATTCATCTAACTACCGTCCCATTTGTCTTCTTCCTATCATAAGCACGGTTTTTGAATCTTTAATTAACAAACACTTAATCTCTCATCTTGAATCTCATAACCTACTTTCTGATCATCAATATGGATTTCGATCTTCTCGTTCTACGGCTGATTTGCTATCAGTAATAACCAATAGGTTTTATCGCGCATTAGATAAAGGTGGAGAGGTTAAGGCCATTGCTCTTGACATTTTTAAAGCGTTTGATAAAGTTTGGCATGCTGGTCTCCTCCATAAGCTTTCTTCTTATGGTGTATCTGGAAACATCTTTAAGATTATTGAATCCTTTCTTTCCAATTGTAGTATAAAAGTTGTCCTTGATGGACAGCACTCTTCTTCTTATTCTGTAACCTCAGGGGTTCCCCAAGGTTCAATCCTTGGCCCTATACTCTTTTTAATTTGCATTAACGATCTTCCAGATACTCTCACATCTAAGGTGGCATTTTTCGCTGATGATACTACCATTTATTCTTGTCACGATAAGAAGCCAACTCCCTCTAATTGCTCCTACCCTTCATCTTCTAGGATTAACTCTTACTTCTGATCTTTCTTGGAAACCTTATATCAAATCCGTTGCAAAATTAGCATCTGCTAAAGTTGCTTCTCTTTATCGAGCTTGTTACTTTCTTACTCTTGATTCTATTCTCTATCTCTATAAATCTCAAATCCGGCCTTGTATGGAATACTGTTGCTATATCTGGGGCAAATCTTCTAATGATGCCCTTTTGCTTTTAGACAAAGTGCAAAAACACATTGTAAACATAGTTGGACCTGCTCTTGCAGCCAACCTTCAACCTCTGTCACAGTTTTTTTCCTCGAACCTTGTCTAGTTTTCTTCCTTGAACATCAGTTCTTTGGAATTGGCTTCCTTCATCTTGCTTTCCTGATTCATATAATTTGCAATCTTTTAAGTCGTCTGTCAATCATTATCTTGCTCTACAATCTTCATATTTTCTCTTCCAGTTACTTCCAACACTAATTAGTGGTTGCTTGCAGCCTTGTTGGAAGCGAAGATAAATAAAAAAAAAAAAAAAAACAATATAACTAACTATAATTTATATATATACATATATATATATATATATATATATATATATATATATATATATATATATATATATATATATATATATATATATATATATATATATATAACTACATATATGGGCAATTCCACAAAAGTGGCAGTCATAACATTTGATACTCTTTAAGCTATTAAAAATGATATGAAAATGGAAATGACTTGAAACTTTCCAGAAATGTAAATAATCATATAAATTAATATCAAAAAGTTACAGAATTAAAGTCTTCAACTTTTTTCAAAAATTAGCTCTATGTAGCATGACTGTTGTAATGCTTACGTTTTAACACTTCTGAGAAAAACAACTTTGTCAGACTTAATGCAGAGAACAGCATGATAAAAAAAATAATTTGGTGTGTGTGTTTAGCACATATTGATGTTATTATATGCTGAGTTTTATAGTTTTTACCTAAAGTTTTACAAACAATTTTATGTTTTTTCTGTGGTGATAGTTGTAACCATGACAGTCGTAACAAAAAATCCAGTGCTTAAAAACAGCAAATAAAATGATGCAATCAATGATGTAAGAAAAAAAGTATAAATGATTATTAACAACCATATATATTATGTTAAAAAAATGCACTTTAACATTACCAAAGTTCTCATTAATGGAAATACGATACGATTTTTAATGCTATGCAATAGGACTGTAATTAAGCATCAAAACACATTTACAACATTAAAATCATGCTATGTATGAAAAAATGATTTATATATATATAAATATATATATATATATATATATATATATATATATATATATATATATATATATATATATATATATATATATATATATATATTTATATATAATTATTTATATTTATATTTATTTATATTTATATATATTTATTTATATTTATATATATTTATTTATATTTATATATATTTATTTATATTTATATATATTTATTTATATTTATTTATATTTATATATATATTTGTTTTTATATATATATAGTTATATATAGTTATGTATAAAATATATAGTTATATATAAATTATATATATATACATATACATATACATATATGCAGCTCAGAAAATATTTTTTAATATTTTGTGTTTGTTAGGTCAACAACAAGTGATCCTAATACAACATACTTCGACATTGAAAATTTGTATGGAAATATGATTTATATAGTAAGCATATCTGCTAACACAAAATATCAAGGACTATTTAGCTCTGGAATTAAGGTTAAAACAAAAGATGGAGGTTTGAATCTGTAATACATTTTTGACAGGGTTGTTGAGCCAATTAAAATGATGGCTCAATCTTACTTTAATATTAGTAAATATAATTTTTTAATAATAGTAAATATAATTTTTTCACATTTTTCAAAATTTTTGTTTATTGTTTTTGTTTTTTTTAATTAAATAAAGGAGTTTATATAATGTAAAAGAAATTTGAATTATTTATATAAAGATAAAATTATTTGAAGTCATTATTTTGATAACAAAGTATTCTGCTAAACTTTTTTATTAGGCTCCACACCTCTGTTTTTTAGAGAAACTATTTGAAACCATTTTTTAGACTAAATTTTCAAAACATTTTTAGTGCCTCTAGTTTCTGCTGTCAACCTTCGATGCGGTAAAATAACCTTTTATTCAATTACTGTATATTGGGACTCAGCTCCTCCTGGGTATCTTCAAGGTGTACTTACAAGTTATAATATAGCTTTTAAAAAAATTGTAAATGACAAGTTTAAAAATGATTCATTACCTGCAAATGCTGCTAGCTACACTGTAATCAAAACTGATGCATTCACTGAATATATCATAATATTGACAGCTTTAACTAGAGTAGGTAGAGGAATGGAGTTGCAAGTAAAATGTAAAACTGATGAAGCCGGTAAGTTTACTTACAATATATTATTTTAATGTACATTAGGCAAAGCATATTTAAACTAATCACAGATTTATGGATCTGTGATAAGTATATATGAATAATCTAAAAAGATATTGAATGGAATGATAAATTTAAACAAGTTCTATTTTTCGAATATAATAAACAAGTTTTATTTTTCAAATATAATAAACAAGTTTTATTTTTTGAATATAATAAACAAGTTTTATTTTTCAAATATTACAAACAAGTTTTATTTTTCAAATTTAATAAACAAATTTTATTTTTCAAATATAATGAGTTTTATTTTTTAACATAATAAACAAGATAATATTTAAAGTAATCATTGCAGAAAAAGTAAATCTATAATGCTCATGAAGATAAAATACTTATAGTATCTAATAATCTTTGCTGTTGTTTATTATTGGTAGAAAGTTATGATTTCAAAAGATATTTTATACTTTATTTTTTTAAATGATTTTTCAAATTATTATTTAAAAGCTTTACTATTTTTGTTTTGCAATTTTGTTAAAAAATATTTATTATTTCAAGTTTGTTAAAAAATATTTCTTATTTTAAGTTTAGTTAAGTTAAGCTTTAAAGAAAATTAGTTTAGGTTTTTCAATACTATTTAATTTCTAATCAGTGCCTAGAAAAGCCCCAACTGGATTGAATGCTACATCATTTTATTATCCAGATAAAACTTATGTTTTATGGAATCACATACATCAAGTAGATTGGCAGGGAAAACCTTTGGGTTATATAATAGCATACAAACTTCTTAATCAAGGAGACGTAGACATTGTTAATCAATCTTGGATAATGTTTAATTCAACTTATGCTGAACAATCAGTTCAACTTTATGACCTACTAGTATATTCTCGGTATTCTCTAAAAATAGCTGGTTACAATAGGAAAGGCATTGGACCATATAGTAGTATAATTACATTTGGTAAGTTATTTTCTATTCTTAATTATTTTTAAACCATTTTTGTTTTGAAAACTGTTAGTTATATCTGAATAAAAAAGCTAATGTTATAACTTGTATATCATTTTTAGATACATGTCATATCTTTGATCCTGTCATTGAAATTGTTTACATTTCAATACCACCATTTGCAAGTTCAAGTATTACTTCACCACACCGACCAGTTGGTGTAATGATAGCATCAACAGAACAATCATTGTTACAATGTGCTGGAGCTTGTTCATCATTTTCAAAAAATATTTCATTTGTTTATAAAGAGGTTAAAATGAATAGTTTAGAGTTTGTCAAGTTGAATTCAACAGCAATAAAATTACCTGTGACAGTGCCTTTACAAGTTCTTGATAGTTCGTATTCCTCAACTCTGCAGCTTCCAGGTATTGTATTTGTATCAATTCAAAGCAGTATACGTGTTCAATTAAAAGAAAATGAACAATTAGTTTTTGGAAATATTTACATTGCTTTGGGAACATTTGGAATCTATATTTTGTTGAATTGTTTGTTTGGCGTCATTTTGTTTTATTGTGTAAGTATTTGTTAAACTTAACAACTTATAAAATATATTCTGAATCCTACTTTCTTAAAAATAATTACTTTAGAGAAGTTGTTTTTTTAGCAACATGAAAGTTCAACAAGACAAAGAAAAAGTCAATGTTTTACTTTGAGTGGTATATTTGAAGAAATTTACTTCTCTATTATTACAATTACTACTGTTGGGTATGCAAGAATACTTTTTTGAATTTTTTTTCATAATTTTTTACTGGAGTAAACTATAAATTAGGATTTTATAAATTTTTATTGCAGTTTTGGGGACAAAACTCCTTCATCATTTTGTGGCAGAACGTTATTAATAATTTGGACATTTATGGGTGTTGTCTTAACTTCAATATGTGTGGGCAATTTAATTTCAGCCTTGACTGTTAATGTTGTTAGTACAACCATCTACTCATATCCAAATGATAATGTGAGTCCATTAATGTATAACATAAATTCTTTTAACTCTTTAGAAGATTTTTTAACTTTAAACTTAAAAACTATTGCTTTTTTAAAAGTTTTTTTAAAGAAAAAAACTTTAAAAATTTTAGGTAAAATAAGTTTTTTATAAAGTATAATATAAGTATGGTCTATTACATATTAGTTAAAAGATTGTAATAAAGTCTAGTAATAATAAAATATATAAATAGGAAAACAATAGTTATAAACATAAGTATATAATAAACACACACACACATTTGTGTGCAACTTTTAGGAAAAGTGAAAAGTACATTTATTGACTGACGAACATGCAAGGTAGTGCTTATATATTGACTGAGTTTTGGGTTAAAGTTAGGATTAAGATTAGATTAAATATTGTTAAATTTCTGTAAATAATCATTTTTGTAAATAAAAAAATAATAAATAAGAATAATAAAGTACTATTTAAATAAAGTATTAATTATTAATTAAAAATAAGTATTAATTAAATGTTATTATATATATATATATATATATATATATATATATATTTAAAAAAATGTTGTTATAGCAAATTAGTACATTTAAGTATGCACGAATAAAAATATATTTAAAAAAACTATATATTTTACTATATATATATATATATATATATATATATATATATATATATATATATATATATATATATATATATATATATATATATAGTAAAAGCTTTAAATTTACTATTTATGGTAAAAAAAATGGCTTCTAACGACTCTTTGTCTATAAAAATGAAAAAAAATGAGCACCCTTTACATAAAAGCCATTAATTTTAATTGAGGAAGCTTTTTGAAAATCCACAAAAAGTAGCTTAATAGACTGAAATTTTTTTTTGTTTTTTTTAAAAAAAAAAACATAATGAAGGTTTTGTTTTTTTTAGTTTTTTTACTGTTTACATATATTGGTTGACAAATTAGTAAAAAAAAAAAAAAAAATGTTGCAATATCGGCTGACAAATAAGTATAACATGCAAGAAGTGCTGCTACATCGACTGACAAATAAATAGAACATAAGAGATATGCTGCCACATGCAAGGAGTGCTGAGGGTTTTTGTTTGGGCAGGCAATCTATTAATTAAAATAGTTAAAAATATTTCTATCAGATATTTTTAAGAATGATATTTTTTTAAATGTCAAAAAGAAAAAAATTATAAAATAATTACTTTGCAATGCCCTAAAGAACATGTTACCAACAAAAGTTGTTACTTTTTTTCATCTGTTTATGTATCAGAAAGGATTCACCTATTACATCAGTCCAGGAGGCATTGAAATCCGACACCTATAGAGACTACTGGTTATATTATTTTACTAATCCTGAAACGCGAGCCTTTATTTGTTTTTTTAACATCTATAGTCTTTATTTGTTTTTTTAAGTGAGATTGACTGAGAGTGCATTAAAATTTTTTAAAATGATTTTAATAATTTAGATTAATGCAATGCTTTTTTAGCTGCTATTTGTTGAAAACAGTGCTTAATTTCAGTTATTTGGTTATCTGCTTGAATTGCAAGTTTATCTGATTTTTTACCTAAATGTCTAACACAATTAAAGGTTATTTATAAACAATTTAGTAAATAAATAGTGAAACTAATTCATTAGATGGAAATGCTGAAAATTTTCAATGCAGGTTCTAAATAAAAAAATTTTAAACGCTAAGTTCATTTAAAATTAATTTATATCTAACTAGTACCTCCTTCAAGAAAGGTTTTATAACATTTAAATATAAATCTTTCCATACCATCAAAAAAAAAAATATCATGACGTAGTGGTTATGATAGTTCTAACATGTCTACTTTGTATCATGAGCCGTATTTATTATTTCTGTTTTTTCCTAATTGTGCATGAGAAACTTGTTCCTAAATGTGCAAGAGAAATGGTTCCTTTAGAAGAACATAAACATGTTAATACTCTTTATGGAAGTGTTATGGAAAGTAAAAAAAAGCTCATTTGTAATTTCACTATTACTTTTGAAAAAACTATTCCATACTGTCAATAGCAAAGACATAGTTGACAACTTAGAAGACTCTTTTATGCTAGTTAAATTTTCATTAGTTAGAGAGTTGCAATTAATCTAAATCATTCCAGGTTTTTTTATTCAGATTTGTTGCAAGCATTTACAGTTGTTACATGCAAAAAATATTAATTTATTTAAGTTATGCTTTTTTTTATTACAAAGGTGGAATAATTTTATGATCAAAAGTAAGTGTAGGTAAAACATGCCATATTCTGTCTTTATAAAATATATTAGCCATATGGCTCTTAGCCCTCAGAATTAGGGTCGGCATTCGTCTATGTCACCCAACTGCCAACCTAGAAGTATTTGAGGCTGGCAAAAATTTGCCGATCTTAAATTTACCTTATTTCTATTTTTGATGATAAAACCTTTGTATCAATTTTTTTTTGCCAACCTGTAACAGATTAGGGTCGGCAAATTATTGACAACCTCATTATTCCTAATTCCAAGGATTGGATTCTACAGTATAAACATACCACATTCTACATATATATTTTTCATTTGTATTTTTTGACTTAGATGGACCATTTGAATAAGACAGTTATGAACTGTCTTATTCAAATGCAGAGGATCAGGTTTAAAATGTTTTTCTTAATTAAATAAATTAGGGTCTTATAGTAACATTAACATTTAGTTATGTAGTGTAACGAGGGGCAAAATGAGACACTTAAGCGCTAATATATCTAATATGGCCCGTCTAACAACTTTTGAAAAAATAAATTGATATTTTTCAATTCTTCTACGATCCTACTTGAAGCCTAAAAAGTAGGAGTTGCAAAACTGCAGTAGTTTGGTCACCAGAGATCATTTATTGACAGCACCTATCCTGTCTCATTTTGCCCCGCATACCAGGGCAAAATGAGACAGATTTTTTTTTTTTTAGTAATTTAAACAAATAAAGTTAAAAAAAACAGATCTTTAAGAGGATTAGCAAGAAATACATTTTATAATATATTGCAGCTATAATCAAACTGTCACTAGTCACATAAATCACATATTGCTTGACCAGTATTTTGAAACAAACAACAGTCCGAATGAGCCCAGGTTGTGCATTTTGAAAATTGACTCCACTTATATATATATATATATATATATATATATATATATATATATATATATATATATATATATATATATATATAAATATATATAAATATATATATATATATATATATATATATATATATATATATATATATATATATATATATATATATATATATATATATATATATATATATATATATCCATTACAAGAACTAATAAAATCATAAATGCATATATTAAACTTATGTATTTAAAGCACGCATAACATTCATTGTATTTTGTTTATAGGTACTGCAATAACCTTTATGTTATAATCTACTCACTATATATTTTATATACTACTTACTTTATTACATTACAATACAATAAGATTATAAAATACAAACATAGTAATTATAAACATCAGGCAACTATTTGCTTCAATTTGATTAAATATTTATTATATTTAAATATAAGTTAACAAAATATAAAACGTAATTCTATATTGGATAACAACTAAACATTTCAATTAACAAAATAAAAAGTAAGTAAATACAGCATAATAAATTTAAATCTACAGCATGTAAATACTAATTTTTGCTTTGGTTGTTGTTTTAATGTAAAAAATTAAATAAACATAATATTAGATATCGGCAAAAAAAAATACAAACAAATTGTCTCGTTTTGCCCCACATGATGTTGGCATCGAATAGCCTAATTTCCAGACTATTTTATTGAAGAAATAAAATACCAAAGAATGGAAATGAAAGAAAAAGGCCTAAAGATTCTAATTAAAAAAAAAATTTAAATATAAAAAGCTTTTCCACTCAGTGAGATCAAAAAAGGCTAGGAAAAAATATAATAACAACTCTTAAAAATTTGTAATTTTCGCGATGATGAGGGATGAAGTGATTCCCCTTTTACTCAATTTTTTTATTTCAAAGTGACTCAATATATTTTTTTTGACACAAAATAGTTTTTGAACACAACTGCACTTTTAAAAATCTTGCAAATAGTAATTAGTAGGGCTGGCATTATGTTAAATGCGAACTGTCTCGTATTGCCCCGCTGTCTCATTTTGCCCCGCGTTACCTTATGTGTCATTGAAAAACTTATTTTTAATAAATTCCAATTTGAAGAATCACAAGTTGCAGTCATAACTTTTAAAGAGTTTAATTTGCAAATTCTTGTTAAGTTTAGTTGGTTTTTAAAATAAAGAGATATTTGACATGTAGTTGCACCAGTTGACTATCGGTTTAAAATAAAATGCAGATTTTGAAATTGAGTTCTGTAACTCTTTTTTTTTTATTAACTCTATAATTTTAAGTTCTTAACTTGAGGTCTTACAAAGATAATGATAATAGTGCAATAATAATAATTTAACTATGTTTTAAATAATAATAATTTAACTATGATTTGGAAAACTTGAAGAAAAATTTTTTTTTCATTCATAGTGCAGTTCTCACAATATTTCAATTTTCTTAAGAGTAAGCATAAACTTGATCTTAAATTCTTCAGTTTGATGAAGCTCCATAAAAATAAAAATCTTTTTGATTACTTTATTGATGCAATGTTAGGTGACTTGTTATTTAGGTGACTTAGTTAATCAGACTTTTTTGTTTAAAATTTAATTACTTTATTTGCAATTATAATGCAAAATATTTTATAATACAAAATGGTATAAATGAAGAGTTTTGTTTGAGCTTTTAAATTTCAGTTTTAGAAGCTTTGATAAACTAGCTATTTTTAAAGTATTTATATTTTTTTTTTCTTTTCCTTTGAAATAAAAAAACTTTTTTACATAAGCATTATTGATGGTATTAATTCAGGATTAAGTGTTTTTAAACCATCTATAACTATAACATAGTACCAGAATTTTTTCCTTTCTTTATAAAAATACCAATTTAATGTAAAGACTGATATCAGACTTATCACCTAATTCAGCTAAGTAAACTTTATATAAAATAGAGAGTTTATTAGGCTTTATTAGCTATCAGTTTAAATGAATCTGAATAAATGATAATGTATAGTTATATCCAAGAAATGGTTTGTTTTATTTTGAAGCTGATATAAAAATATGCAGAGCCAAGAGAAATGCACTTAGCCAGATGGCTACTAAGCTGCAAGAATTTGATGTTGTTTTATTTTACAAGAAAATCCAATAAATAATGGTTTGTTAATTAGATTGTTACTGTATGCTTTATTTTGGTGTGAAGTTAAGAAGAATTGGTTGTATAAAGTTTTAATTTTAAAAAATAAAATAGCAGTGTGTTAAAAATGTCGTTTAATCGACTCTTCTAAGAAGTTTCTATTTTTGTTATACAGAAGATATTTTATTAAGTGTAACTTTTGACGCAGATAACGAAATAAGAAGGAAAGTAGCTGAAATTAGCTATGCATAATATCATTCCAACAAATTAAATTTTCCAGTTGATAACTATGTCTTTGGAATCTTGAAATTAAGGTTTCCTCCACCCCTCACCCCCCCCCCCACCATACTCCATACACACACGCGCTTTCTTTTTTTTTGCTCTGCTTCCAAAATTTAGCAAATTTTTAGATGATTAGTTAATAACTGTTTTAGACTTCTTTTAATTCAGAATGTTTTTATTTTTGTTTTTTTACTGTTTTTATTAATTAATTTATTTGTTTTGTTTAATTGTTTTTACATTATTTTTATTGACTGATTTATTTATGAATAGCATGTACAGTATATAAGCATAGCA